TGCGGTTGTTGTTCTTTTCTTCGGCGCTTCGCGCCAACCCGCGTGTTCGGGCTGGTCGGCGTCTGCGCCGGTCGCGTACGTCTCCGTCGGCCGTCTTTTGCTTCGTCGGGAGCAGCCAGCCCCCACACAGCAATTGATGCCCAAGGTACGGCTTTCAGCCACTGAGTACTCTAAATAATTAACCCCTCTTTTTAGACATTGAGGAGGAAAATTGCGATCATATCGGCGAAAAATGAACCTTACTGCTTTCTTCTGTATGGAATCAAGCTTATTCATGCCAACTGCTGTGTAGGGTGACCATAACACTGAAGCGAACTCAAGTAATGGCCTGACGTGGGATGTGCAAGCAGTTAATTTGTAGTGCCTGGTTGAGTGCTTCAGAGTGTTTCAAGTATCCCAACTTAAGTGCCCTATATAGCGCAAATGGTTTCAATGTGAAGGTGCCACTTTAGATTTGCAGTAGAGGTGATGCCAAAATATTTGAAGGTATACACAGAATTGAGGTTGTGCCCATTGCAACTATAACTGAAACCTAGCGGGTACCTTTTATTAGTAAATGTCATTTGCACAGTCCTTCGGTAGTTTATAGTCATATGCCACGTAGTGCTGCAGCCACAAAAGGACGCGAATACATTGTTAAGACCCTCTCGATCCCGTTCATTCGTTACACTAGTCTAAAGCAAGCAGTCGTCAGCGTACAATTGCAGTTTCAGTGATGACTTCCGAACGACCCGTGTGACATCGTTAGTGCAAATAATTAACAATAGGGGCCCAAGCACCGAGCCCTGCGGTACGCCGGAAGGAACTGCGGCCGATGACTACAGTGCGCGATTGAAAGTAGTAAACTGTGTCCTTGTGCGTAACCAATCAGCTATCTATAAAAATTTTTCCGTCAGTAATGATTTCAATCAGAAGTTATAAGAGGTTTTTCTGTGGCACACCGTATCAAATGTTTCGCTATAATCTATGAATATGGCATCAACCGGACCTCGATTATTCAGGGCCCAATTATTAGGGATTATTCGTGGATTGGGGGATCCACTATTATTCAGGAATTAGGGTTTAACGTCTTGAAACCAATCCTATGATTTGATGAGACGCCATAGGGAAGAACTCCGGAAATCTCGACCATCTTTAACGTGCAATCACATCGTACAGTACGCGGGCCTCTGACACTCCACCACCCTCGAAATACGACCGCCGCGGCCGGTATCGAACCTGCGACCTTCGGGACAGCGGCCGAGCACCCCAACCACTGATTCAACATGGCGGACTGGCGAAAAGTAAGCACAGTTCGTGCACGAAAATTCGGGATAGATTCAAGCAGGTCAATAATAAAATATTTCTGTTCGTGTGGGAAGCGAACACAGGCTGCCTTTGTGGCGAGCAAGTGATCTACCACAGAGCCACACCTGCAGCTACGTGGGACGGGCAGGCACGAAGATTCCCTAGTCCCCATTTCTCAGACAGAGCAAGGGCTTCTGGCATTTCCTTTTTCATCATTTGAAAACAGTTTCCGAATTCTTCAATAAACATTCAGTTGTAAGTCCAGCGTCTGTCCTGTGAGATTGTTGTTCTTCGCTGTCTTCGTGTGGTTTTTCACTGCTTCTTTTTTTTTTATTACTATGAACCAGCTCGACCAGAAAGCTACGTTACTAAATAAAAGAGCCGCTCATGTTTTCTAGAACCTTCAAGGAGCTCATACTTAGCAAGACGAAACCAGATCACTTTCTACCGGAACTTCAACATCACTCGTCTGAAGCAATCGAGATAATCATGAAAATAACGATAATGGTAGCAGCACATAACACCAAGGAGAGGCATGTGACGGTTCCTTGTTGTGAACGTTGCATAGAATCGATGGTGATGTTCACGAATCCAATCTTCCTGCCTGCTAACCACTTCCTTTTTCAAAATGCTACATAATAACGAAAAACAAGTAGAACAGAAGAGGCGAATACCCAAGAAGCCAGCGATATATAATTTAACCATTAATTTTTACAACCAATCATTGAAGCGCCTCCAGTCATGTAGTTAACGCACAGAGATTCGCTACTACCGCTAAACATTATAATAATGTGCGTCATTAACAGCGCCTGTTCGGACGAAACAAAGAAGCTAAGCTATTATAAGAATATAAAAATAGGAACCGGATATACAGATAACCGCAGTTGCGAAAGTCTTGGGTAAAACCAGCAGAGGCAGCGATGTTGCAATGGCACAAGTCATTCGGCAGATGCCCTTCCTCATTATATATATATATATATATATATATATATATATATATATATATATATATATATATATATATATATATATATATATATATATATATAATGGAAATGAAATGCGCTTGACCTGGCCAGGTGTATTGCGTTGCTCCTGGTAACACTCGGGCTCTGCTCCCCAACTAAATAGTTTAGTGATGGCCTTATGATTCCCGTTGTCGCTGTTGTAATTCCTTGCAGCGAGGCGCAGAGTGGTTTCCTAGAAGTAAGAACTCGTCTCTGCCCGGCGACAGATCGATGGGTGTAGTTGGGTCGCGGCGATAATCTAGCCCTTTTTGATCTGTCTGTCTTTCGCAACTCCGTGGTATTTTCGTGCGTAGGAATGCTTTATTTTTTGAAACAATATTTCGGAATGTTCTGAGTGCACGATAATTGTTACTCACGAACTCATCAGTTTCGTTTTTTTATGTTATATTGTTATGAGGGCCATTTAACTTTGCCCAGAGGTCACAAGGACTCGCGTGCGAAACTGAGTTCACCTACAGTGTAGTTGATTCCTACCCTCCCCCCCCCCCCCCTTCCTTTTCGAATGTGGGCGCATGTATGATTCGCAATAAAAGAAAAGGAATACTATATCAACGAAGCATTATGTTGATGCTACGTAAAATATACTAATAATATCCGTCGTCTGACTTTCTAAAGCCACGAGATTAGTACAATAGACGCTGCATTGAAGGATTCCCGAAATTTCAATGATGTGGTGTTCTTTGACAAGCACTGACATCATGAAGTACACAGGCCTCCAATACATGGCCTCCTCCAGAACGTGACCACCGCAACTGGAATCGAACCCACAACCTTTAGGTCAGCCGCCGATTACCGTAACCACTGATCCACCATGGCGGGTGAGTCAGCGCGAATGTACAGTCTCAATTTTTATGAAAGGGAACATGGGAGCGCGTGGCCTGCGCGCTCCAGCGGCTGCTGGCAGCGCGTTCAAGTGGGAGCGAGAGCAACCACATTCTCTTCTCGCGTCATCTCGCGGCGAGCAAAACAGGATGTCAGTGCTGATGTGGAATCGCTGGCAAGATTGCAACCTCCTCCCCCTTCAAGGCGATTACCGGCTCTCACGTAACTGCCTTCAAGGGGCAGGGGGTCACAATCTTGCCGCTGGTTCCATATCAGCAACAAATGGTTGTTTTGCTCGCCGCGAGATGACACCAGGAGAGACTGCGGTTGGTCTCGCTCCCGCTTGAACGCGCTGCCAGCAGCCGCCGGGGCGCACAGGCTACGCGCTCCCGTGTTCCCGTTCATAAAAATTGACACTGTACAACACAAATCACACGTTCGTGACGTTGACGAAGGCAGAAGTCTCTATGTCCAAGATGAAACAGTTCGTTTGGCAGAACTTGTGGCCGGTAAACGGGAAGTCAGATTACAGCAACACAGTGGCACTAATAGCTGTGTGCAGGGCGTCAGCCGTCGATAATGTGATCATGGTTGGGAGGCGCCGTCTTTTAGACATCACGTGCCGAACTTTCCAGCCTTATCACTGGCGGTCACGCAAGCTCTGGAACAAGTTTGAGTGTTTGCGTCATGCTCGCAATCTTGACTAGTCTTGAAGCTTCTCTAACACTGCAGGCATGGTTTGCGCTGGGAATCACTTGCAGTATTTGAAACCGAAAACAGAATGCAGCGAAAGGAAAATAAGGAACATGCGTGGCAACATTCACACACAAAAAAATCTAGTTCACGCCGGCAGGCTTGTGTTTCGTTCTTGCGTCAGACGCTATAGCTATGAGACAGATGTGTCTCGCGGCTCAATCCACGCTCGTGGGAGACACTTATTCATCAATACTTCACACTACCCTTTATTTTTCATTCCTTTTTCACTCCCACAGAAACGACGATGTTTCGCGAAACACCAGTATCGAAGACACCCGGGACCGGCCCTCCACCCCTCACCCTCCATTCCCCTGCTCCCCGAAGGACCACAGATGCGCGTCCCACATTCCCGCCCTGGCCTCGCAAACGAGGCTAAACGCGATTTGGCGCCGGTGATGCACCTGCGCGTTCGAGCGTCAATGCCGGCCGTGAGCCGCGAGGAATCGAGGCCGTTCGTTTAGGCACTCTTTTATGACTTATAAGCAAAATGTTTCCAGAAATGGAGACTGTGGGGACTCTGCGTCGCGCGTGCTAAATCATGACAGCTTAAGAAGTCTACTAATAATAATTCGCTTGAAGAGATAAGATGAAAAGAACGAGCTTAAACAAGATTATTGCGGGCGAGTACCACCACCCTATTTTATTAAACCATAGAAGTAAATGCGCTCGCTTGCGTGTAGACATCAAATGAACGGCTTCAGAGCATTTATAAGTCAAGTAATTACTATGCCATATACTAATCCACTACAAACCTTCCGAATTCATACTTGCAAGCGCTTGCATTTGCATTTTGCATTGCATTTTGCGAGGGAGAGAACGAAATTACGTGTTCGCGTATTTTCGTTTCGCTGTGCGTCCACGCCCATGCTTTAAACCTAGGTGCTCAATATTTCCGAAGGTCTGAACTGCGGTGTCCCTCGTAATTGTATCGTAATTTTGGGACGCACATTTTTGACAATTCCTATTATTATTTCGCACACAGCAGCTAAATGGTAACTATATGGTGTCGAACATTTGGAAACCTTGAATGTCGAATATCACTTTGGTGTCGTCCTGGTACAAGCGTGCAGCAAGTTTGCCGAATCGAAGCACGGAACTTTTGCTCACCGCTTGCAGCTTCCCGGAAGGCTTTGAAGCGGTCTTCATTAAGGGCGGCGTCATTCTGTCCGGGGCTACACTCAGAAAAGCAACGTCTATAATGAGCGAGATTCGATTGCTAACAGTAAGCCATGCCGAACGATATCACCGTGTCCCCGGACAAAGCGTCGATAAGGGGCTTTTGCCGTGTATCACACTGGCCGCTGATAGCGCGTTGACAAAATTGCGTCGTACGTCTGAACGAGTTTTCGCTTCGCAATTCCGGCGCTTTACTCAAAGAACACTCCCGCCATTATCTTGCTACTCGGCGCTGAATGCAGAAAGATAAGACAGTGACATTCCGCTGATATAGCACCGGTAGTTCATGTGTGTTCCGTGCGGTGGTGATTAACGTTCATTATTCTCCGTTAATTACCAAGGCCTATATAGACCTGTTTGAAGGCACTTTTACAATATAGACAGTCACTGACAATATCATAAATAACTAACTGTATACGTGCCCGAACAACCATATGACATTGAAGCAGGCCGAAGTTGGGTCTTTGTATTAATTTCAATCCCATGAGGCTCCTTAACGTGCATTCAAATGAACTAGCCACTCGCAGGTGTTTTTTTTTACCTGTCACCTTTTTTGAGATGCGGCTAGGATTGAACACGTGACCTCCAGGTAAGCTGACAAGCGCTGTAAACACTAAATTATTGAGACGGACAACTGAACATAGTGTTTGTTTGTAATTAAATCTTATTGATGAAAAGCAATTCGAAGGTTTTCTTCCCTGCTGGTACGAGCGCTTACTGATTCATTGATTCATATCTGGGGTTTAACGTCCCAAAACCACCATACGATTATGAGAGAAGCCGTAGTGGAGGGCTCCGGAAATTTCGACCACCTAGGGTTCTTTAACGAGCACCCAAATCTGAGCACACGGGCCTACATCATTGTCACCTCCATCTAAAATGCACCCGCCACCGCCGGGATCCGACTCCACGACCTGTGGGTCAGCAGCCGAGTATACGTTAGTCACTAGACCACCGTGGCGGGGCAATTCTCACTTCTCGGTGAAGACTTCAAGTGTGCCGCAAAGAAAGCCACACTGGAAACGCCCTCGAGCTCCCGTATTTATTTGCATCTACCTCAAATTTTCGCTAATGGCCAACGCTTTTTTTTTCTCCCGACCAAAGAAGACGCTGCCAAGGCCGCCACTGATGCCGGAAACTCGGCGTGCTGTCGTGGTAAGAGCATCTTCCCCAAGCGGGCAAATTGAGTTGGCGTGCTCGTTCAAGTGATGTACCACTTAATTTCTTCCTTGCTGCGCAATGCTACTTTATAACGGTTTCCTTTATGCCGGGAATTCAACGTTCTGCCCCGTGCTTAGCAGCACAACGAAACAATCGCTACAAACAGCAACTATAGATGAAGTGTGGAACAATGAAGTGCAACAGTGAAAGGTAACGATTAAGTGTATCAACGTAAAACAACAAGCGACCTTTCTTTCAAAGATTAGATTATCATATCAGAAACGGCTGACCACCGATAAGCAGACAAGCGAGAGGGTATCTGTTATTGGAAAACTGCGCATACTAAGACGGATGCGGCCGGAGCACCTCGGAGGTCCGCATTGGTGAACAGCTGCATTTTCGTTCATACGCAGAGACATTTTTACGCGAACCATTTATTTGCCCTCATGGGGATCGTCCTTTGTGTATCAGAGGCCCACGGGACGGCCTAGTGCTCTCCCATAGTAGAGTACCACGCACTCTAAATCGTTCACCAGTTATTTCTGAATACATGGTTGCACTGGGACGGCTTGCTGCTCTCTAATAGTAGAGGACAAAGTACTCTAAATCGTTAAACATTTTTTAAAACAAACCACCGTACGAGTTTTCTTTTTCTTAGTGTGAGAGGTCCCCGGGGCGGCTTTATGCTCTCCCACAGTGGAGTACCTAGTACTATAAGTTGTTACCTGCTTTATTTAAACACGTATTAGTAAAGGTACAAATTTGCAGCCTCTGCAAATACAAATAAACACTAAATGGAATTATTTCCTGGCGTTCCTATTATTTCTCGCCCACTTCGTGACGCAATAACAGTGATTACCGTGACGTCTATGAAATGAATACTCTCTAATAGTTCATATAATGCAGCCGCCGATCCGTTATTGCTTGTTTCGCATGACTATCGTGCCCGATCAACTCATTTCACTTAGTTTTGTGTGTGTGTGTGTATGGTGTGTGTGTGTGTGTGTGTGTGTGGTGTGGTGTGCGTGTGCGTGTGTATGTGCATGTGCACGTGCGTGTGTGTGTGCGTGTGCATGTGTGCGTGTGCATGTGCATGTGTGCATGTGTGCATGTGTGCGTATGCATGTGCATGTGTGCGTGTGCATGTGCGTGTGCGTGTGCATGTGCGCGTGTGCGTGTGTGCGTGTGCATGTGTGCGTGTGTGCGTGTGCATGTGTGCGTGTGCATGTGCGTGTGCGTGTGCCTGTTCATGTGTACGTGTGCCTGTGCATGTGTGCGTGTGCCTGTGCATGTGTGCGTGTGCCTGTGCATGTGTGCGTGTGCCTGTGCATGTGCGCGTGTGCCTGTGCATGTGCATGTGTGCATGTGCATGTGTGCATGTGCGTGTGTGCGTGTGTGCATGTGCGTGTGTTTGAGCAAGCGGCGATAACAGCACGTAGCTGATAATCGCGAAATCCTGATAGGTGCTCTGTGCTGACAATGTACGCGTGTTTTTAGCAAGCAGGCGGCGAGGAACGGTTGAAAAAATACGCCTGTAGGAAGGGGAGACGAGAAAGAAGCCACTCTCTCGTCTTTGAATGCGGAATGATGAAGGGCCCTTTAAGATATGCGCACATCGCGCAAATTCATGTGTTGATTGCTTGCTTTACCGCTACATAAGTGTGACAAAAGTGAGATCAGGTTCCGTCGCCTTTAGCGATAGAGAGAACAATAGTTCTCGAGTATTGCAAGGGCCGCGTGCAAATTGTAGCGTGGTATGAATTATTAAGCGGTGTGTCGGTATGATACAAAAACGTGTTATTCATTTAAAGACTGTCCGTGTGCCGACACGCATCGTTCTGCATAAATAAAACCATCGATTAGAACTGATTCTGCAACAAAACTTGCTCTGCTACTCCCCATATTCTGGTACTGCTTCAATTAGGATACATTTTAAAGCCTCGAAAAAGGCAAGAACGTGCCGTGTTTTAAGGCAAAAGTGCGTACATGCTGAAAAACAGGTCGATATGCCGACAGAAAGAAATATAATGTTTTGAAACATTTTAGATGCGAAGTAGCTCTTTGACTAGCCTGTGTAACGCTGTACCTCCGTCCATCCGTACTAACGCGCCTTAACGCGCTATTCTCGGCGCAGGTGTTGGAGCGGTGCCAAACAGGTCCCGCCATAGCTGTGCGTTGACGTCACGCTCCCCCCGCAGTGCGCGCTTGCGCCATCTCCCTCGCCTACCGCGTGCTCGCCCACGTGACCGCAGCGGCCACCTCGTCCGTGCGCCTGTAACACCTGCCACATCCCCGCTCACTCCGATACCACAACCGCCACTCGCTGCACCACCGACTCACCGGTTTACACGCAATAAATCCGACGCGCGCTTCACGTAAACGTTGAAATATGTCTGTACGTGTCACCTTTTCTCGCTTCACCCTCTCCATCACTCGCAATGCTCGAGCGCACATCCAGTGCTAACACTTTTTCGGCCCATTTATCTGCGATGGAGAGGACACAAGAAGGCGACGCTCCTTCGCCCGCCGAAGCATCTGCCAAAGCCATTAGGCCTAACCCGGCCGTCACTTCAAAGGAATCATCCGGCGCTCACCGCAGCACCAGAGTTCGCGCCGTTCAACCCGGGACGCCACCCATGCGCAATGCTGCTGCTTTGCATCCAATCAGGGTTCTCCGATAGGATGCAAAGATGGTGTGATAAGATGGTGTGAATTTTTTTAATAGGTTCGATAGACGTGTTTCTATTAGACAAGCTTCATGGTAATAACCCTTATACTAAGAAATTTAACCAACTAGCCCAAATAGCCGTTCTTCTTAGACAAGTTTATAACTAAATCTATTGATCACATAGTACCCAGTATAGTCGTAAATATTCCCAATACATATTAAACGAAGCCACGATACGATTATGATAGACGCTTTAATGCCGGGCTATACGGGGAATTTCATCATTTGGTGTCCTTTAGCCTGCATCTGAATACAGGTAGACATGCCTCTATCATTTCGCCTACTTCTAAATGTGGCCTCCGCATACGCTACTCGAACCCACGACCTTCGCGTCAGCAATCCATCATCCTGACCACCGTGACCGTTCTAATGTAAGACTTAGGAGTATAAGAGTGGGAGTTGCACCAACCGTGAATAATTGTGAGCAATTTTTCCTTCTTAGTCGCTGTATTGATTCTTTGATATATTGAAAGTTTCATCAATAGGGCTTGCCCTAACGAAGAGGGTGGCGGGCTTACTTGTATGTCGTTATAGCTTATATCACCCAACACTATGTTTCTCAAATTACAGTTCAGGAAGAGCATTTATGACCGATGAAACGCCATTGCACATTTGTCATGGTACACTTTGACTTAACAGTAATCTTGAATGATTAAACTCAACATCCGCCACGACGGAACGTTTCGGGCAGGTGTACCGAACATCTGGCGTTCAAAAAATAATAAAGAAGCAGGGGAATACAGAAACAATTTCAGAATAATTAGTTAAGCGTGGAGTAAAGTGAAACGATGCGAAACAATATTCATGAACACACTGAACGTTACGGCACGGATGACATTCATTTCACCTACAATCACATGCGAAATTCATCGTCCTGGCAAGTACAGTCATACAGCTCGTAGGTGTTAAATAATTGCAGTACCTCAGTGTCCTTTTTTGTGTGTTTCTTTCACGAGACAAGCAGCGCTGTTTTGTAGTGTGTATCACAGCAATCGTGGTAATAATTTATCACGAAAACGAGTGTTCAGACCTACTTAGAGCCTCTCCCAAATCGAGCACCTAACGGGCGACTCGCGTTCGGGAATCTCGTGTTGGCAACAGTGTCGTTGGAGGTAACAAGACAGGCTGATTTTGCGTTTGCT